GACGTGAGGCTCGTTCACTCGGGGTTCTGGAGCGCACAGAGCAATCTCAGAGGAGGGAGAGCATGGTTAGCCGTGGATTTGCCACCTTCTGCCTCAGTTTCCTTTCCCTAAAATGGGAGCCATGATGTTTGCTTTGTGGGGTTGTTGTGAGGATTAAATGAGCCAGAGGGGATAAAGTGCAGCAGTGGGAGCCGCAGAGGACACAGGAGACAGTGGTGACTGCCAGACCGTGGGCCTGCGGCTGGTGGGGTTTCGAGGGTGTTGTTGGGTTATAAGACAGTGAGTGCCCTTGTCCTGTGGATCCAGGGATGATCACACCAGTGCCAGTTGCTGTCTAGTCGACGCTGACTCCTGGCAGCCCCGTGTGTGCAGAGTAGAACTGTGCTCCATAGGGTTTTCAATGGCTGACTTTTTGGAAGTAGGTTGCCAGGACTTTCTTCTAAGGCGTCTCTGGGTGAACTTGAAACTCCAGCTTTTGGTTAGCAGCCAAGCACGTTTATCATTTGCACCGCCCAGAGACTCCACAGGGATGACAGTGTGGTTTAATTAACAAAAAACGAAAGGTAGAAAAGGGGGAAAAAATCAAGCTTGTTTAGCCTTAGTCAGAAACATTCCTGTTGTAGTTCATTTCAGGGGTTTACAACTGTCTCAGTTAAATAAACCTCTGTGTCTGGTTTTTTGTTTCTTTTTTCTCCGTATTTCAGCGCTGGGAAATTCGGTGCCTGTTTTATACCAGGACTCTGTAAGCAAAGCGATCTAACCCTGTACGCGGCAAGGCCTGGGCTCCGGCTGTGGAAGGCCAACGTCCAGGGGACTGTTCAGGCCACATTCATCTTAAAAGATGTTTTTGCCGGGGGAGTCAAGCCTTTCGAACTGTACCCGCGTCTGGAACCCGCCGACAGGGGAAGCTGCAGTGCGCCCGAGAAGCACCTGGGGCTGGTCTCGTGTTTCTTTCAAGAAGGCTGGGTGTTGAGCTGGAATGAGTATAGTATCTATCTTTTGGACACCATCAACCAGGTAAGCCCAGTGACGGCACCTTCTCTGTGGTGTCTGAGGACAGAAAACGTTGGCCCACGGACAAGTCAGCTTCAGTCTTTCAGAGTTAGAGACGGGACAGTATTGATTCTCATGCTTGACTTTTTCTTTTAGGGCCCATCAGTGAAATCAAATAAAGGTTTGGTCATGTAAAGGAGCCCTGGTGGCTCCTCAACGGTTAAGCATTCAGCTACTAACTGAAAGGTTGAGGGTTCGAACCCACCCAGCAGCTCTGTGGGAGAAAGACTTGGCGGTCTGCTCCCATAAAGATTACAGCCTCGAAAGCCCTATGGAGCAGTTATACTCTGTCACACGGGGTCACTGTGAGTTGGAATAGACTAGATGGCACCCAGTAACACAATAACATATATTGCTAAAGGAGCGCTGGGGGTACAACAGTTAAACTCTCAGCTGCTAACCAAATTGGTGGTTCGAACCCACCCAGAGGCTCTGCAGGAGGAAGACTTGGCGATCTGCTGCCATAAAACTCATAGCCTAAAAAACCCTATGGGGCACTTCTGCTCTGTCACCTGGGGTCACTGTGAGTCAAAATTGACTCCACAGCACCCAACAATGTTTGTAGATGTTAAAAAATACCTTGTTTTGATATTCACAGCCATATCCCTGCCAAGAGCCTTGGTGGTGCAGTGGTTTAGTGCTCAGCTGCTAATCAAAAGGTTGACGGTTCGAACCCACCAGCCGCTCCGAGCAAGAAGGATGTGGCAGTCTGCTTCCATAAAGATTTACAGCCGTTGAAAGCCTGTGGGGCAGCTGTACTCTGTCCTGCAGGGCCACGATGAGTCGGCATCGACTCGTTGGCGAGGAGGTTGCTTTGGTTTTATTCCTACCAAGAAATGGTGTGTGTGTGTGTGTTTGTGCGTGTGTGTGTGTGTGTTAAGCACAAAATTACACTTGTCTTTTATCATCTGTTTGGATTGTGATTTTTCTGACTGCCAAATTACTATGAGCACATTCAATGAAAACTCAAGGGTGACAGAAACGAGAACATGGAGGAGGGTGACCTCCAAGGCCCTACCAGGACGGCCAGTGCCCAGAGGAGGGGTCTCTTGACCCAGCTTTCTCTGCTCCATTCTTTTGCCTGTGTTCTTCCTGACCCAAATGGTGCCATGGTATTCTGCTAGTTGTTTTTACTGTGTTTTCTTTACTTAATGATGTATCTTGGACGACTTTTCAGCATCATAAAATCATGATGGGAAACAGTTTCTATTTGAATCAGAGTGATAGCAGATTACCGTTGGAGATTGACTTAAACTTAAAAAAACAACTGTTTCAGTTTCTCATCTTAAGAGCAGGAATAAATAATCCCCCTGTCCCACATACCTCAGATTAGACCCTACCCTGCTCATGTTCCTTCTTGAACTCAGCAGGCCTCTCACAGGCACCCTCATCTTCCACGAGCAGAGATTTACTATAGAAAGTAAAGGGTTTGCTTGTTTTGGGTGTGTCAGCACAAAATGAAATTTCTGGTCTCCTTCATCTGCGCCTCATTGAAGCCCTTTTCATTATTGTTATTACCATGCCTGATAATACTGGCTCAGTAGGAAAAAAAGTGACCTGGGAAGCAGAACCAGGCTACCACCTTCTGCCCTGATTCTGCCTCCAGCTCTTGTTGTGTGCTGTCGAGTCAATTCTGACACATAACAACCCTACAGCACAGAGTAGAACTGCCCCGTCGGCTGTCCGAGGCCATAAATCTTTACGGAAGAAGACTGCCACGTATTTGTCCCATAGAGCAGCTGGTGGGTTCAAACGGCTGACCTGTTGGTGAGCAGCTGAGTGCTTAACCATTGCGCCACCAGGGCTCTTTTGCCTGAGCTTGGTTTCCTTGTAAAATGGGGAAGGTAGGCGTTTGAATTAAGGAATCACCAAGATACCTTTCAGCCCCTGAGTTTGTTCTTTTCATAAGGGGCGTTTTGCAAGACGTTTTTGCCCTCTTCCCCAGTTATAGACAACCTAACTTTTCTTCCTTCCCTGGCTACCTTTTGAGCTTACACACACGTATTAATCAGGGGGGTCAAGATACTTTGTACTTGTATGTCAGTTCTTGTCATCCGTCCAGTAGGTATAATTAACCTCATTTTATAGGTAGAAAAATGGAGACAGAAGGGCTCTTAAGAATTATAGGTCTGTCATGATCAGAGGTTGCTGACCATCATCAGAGCCCATGTCTCTCCGTGGCAACACCACGTGATTGGTAGCTCCAGAAACGCGCGTCATGTTTCTGGCTGGACATCAGGATTATTTAGAATTAACAAAGATCTTAGACTCCCTTTATCTTCTATAATGAAATGGCCTCTTATCTGCACTATTGACTGAAAAGCAGAGCTTTTTTTTTTTTAACCCATGTGGACTCGGGATGTCCTGTGTCCTGCTTGCCATCTGCTTTCAGATGGTGGTAGGGGAGCTCTCCCCCTGTCATTTAGTCCTCAGAACTGCAAGTGGCAGTCTTTCCCACAGGAGGGCACACTGGAGGGGGTCTAGACCACCTCACGTCATTCCAGCCGGCCCAGGGGTGACGTGCCAAGCTGAGATCTCCTTCTCTTCACTGAGCACCTGTGGGCCTTTTTAGTTCTTATTTTTTTTTTAACTACTTTTTGACTTAGCATTTACCTCCCCACAAAGTAATACATGTTTTGAGCTGCTGAGGAGCTCTGGGCCTTGCAGGGGGGGCAAGCTGCGTAGGGAAAGCTTCCCGCGGAGGTGGCATCTGGAGAGGGTTGGAACGGCCCAAGTGAATAGGAAGAGGGAAGGACGTCAGGCAGAGGGAACAGCGCCTGCCAGAGGCACAACCATGGAGGACAGATGCACCTGAACTGTGGGCAGAGGGGGCAGTGGCATTGGTGTGAGGCCAGCAGGCACAGACAGCAAAGGGCCTGCCACACCAAGGAGGACGAGCTCCGTTTCCCCGGGGTGTGGGGCAGGGTGGGGACAGGGTTCCCAGAGGGGCCTAGAGGTGGGAGAGACTGCTCTCTCTGTCATGTAAATTCAGTGCTGAAACATAGCACTCCAAACCACACGTCTGTCAGATGTTCCTTAATTTTGGATTGAATTTCTCTTAACAATTTTCAGAAAATTGTCATAGCGAAGTGCAATTATTGTTAGACTTATTTGGATCTTCACACATGCTTTTATGTTCGACACTCTTACTATTGCCTAACTTTGTGATTTTTTTTGACAGGTCACAATTGCAGGTTTAGAAGGATCAGGTGATATCGTGTCTGTTTCCTGCACAGAAAATGAAATCTTCCTCTTAAAGGGAGATAGGAACATTATCAGAATTTCGAGCAGGCCCGAAGGATTAGCATCAATAGGTTTGTATTCATTATAAAATGGACTGTACACATTATGGAAAATACAGCACTCTGTTGTATGTAATTTTACCTTATAAAACTTACTATTATTTTGCTAGTTTTAAATTACTGTAGCCTTATTTAAATAAGGAGGTATTTGGAGGGTTTCCTGTGATTCTCAGAATCCTGTTTACAGTACTTTTCTTGAAAGTGACCTGACTTTAAGGCTTGCGTGTTTGGTAGAATTGCTTCCAAGGGACTGGAAGTCGGAGAGGTTGGGTTAGTGGGAAGGAGAAATCAGAACCATTTTACTGATCCCTGATGCCCTGTCCGAGACAGTAAGTGGGATTAAAGCTCCAAAAGTTTAAGACATTAGCACATTTCAGTCTGTCATCCGGGATACATCTTTTTTTTCCCCCGTACAAAAATTTATACATACATTGTTATGTGACTCTAATTACTCTCCCCATACTGTGACAGCACACTCCTCCTTTCCCCCACTGATTCCCCATGTCCGTTCAACCAGCTCCTAACCCTCTCTGCCTTCCCTTCTCACCTCCGGACAGAAGCTGCCCATTTAGTCTCTCGTATCTACTTGAGCTAAGAGACATACTCCTCACGAGTATCACCTTATGTCCAACAGTCCAGTCCAGTCCCTGTCTGAAGAGTTGGCCTCAGAATTTGCTTTAGTTCTGGGCTGATAGAGAATCCAGGGACCATGCTTTCCAGGGTTCCTCCAGTCTCAGTCAGACCATTAAGTCTGGTGGTCTTACTGGAATTTGAGTTCTATACCCCACCTTTCTCCTGCTCCATCAGGGACTCAGGGACTCTGTTGTGTTCCCTGTCAGGGCGGTCATTGGTGGTAGCTGGGCACCATCTAGTTCTTCTGGTCTCAGACTGAAGTCCGTGGTTTATGTGGCCCTTTCTGTCTCTTGGGCTGCTACTTTCCTTGTGTCTTTGGTGTTCTTCATTCTCCTTTACTCCAGGTGGTTGGGAGCAATTGATGCATCTTAGATGGCCACTTGCAAGCTTTTAAGACCCCAGACACCACTCACCAAAGTAGAATGCAGAACATTTTCTTAATAAGCTTTGTTATGTCAATTAACCTCGATGTCCGCTGAAACCCTGGTCCCCAGACCTCTACCCCTGCTACTCTGTCCCTCAAAGTGTTTGATTGTATTCAGGAAACTTCTTAGCTTGGTTTAGTCCAGTTGTGCTGACTTCCCCTGTAGTGTGTGCTGGCCTTCCCTTCACCTAAGATAATTCTTATCTACTATCTATTTAATAAATAACCCTCATGCTCCTTCCCCACCCTCGTAACCATCAAAGAATGTTTTCTTCTGTGTTTAAACCTTTTCTTGAGTTCTTATAATAGTGGTCTTATACAATATTTGTCCTTCTGTGACTGACTAAATTCACTCAGTATAATGTCTTCCGGATTCCTCCATGTTATGTTTCCCGGCTTCATCATTGTTCTTTATTATTGTGTGGTATTCCATTGTGTGGACATACCGTAATTTGTTTATCCATTTGTCCGTTGATGGGCACCTAGGTTCTTTCCATCTTTTTGCTAATGTGAACAGTGCTGCAGTGAACATGGGTGTGCATATATCTATTCGTGTGATGGCTCTTATTTCTCTAGGATATATACCAAGGAGCGGGATAGCGGATCATATTTCTAGCTTTTTAAGGAAGCGCCAAATTGATTTCCAAAGTGGTTGTACCATTTTACATTCCTACCAACAGTGTATAAGTGTTCCAGTCTCTCCACAACCTCTCCAGCATTTGTTATTTTGTGTTTTTTGGATCAATGCTAGCCTTTTTGGGGTGAAATGATAATCTCATTGCAGTTTTGATCTGCATTTCTCTAATGGCTAATGATCGTGAGCGTTTCTTCATGTGTCTGTTAGCCGCCTGAATATCTTCTTTGGCAAAGTGCCTGTTCATATCCTTTGCTCATTTTTTAATTGGGTTATTTGTCTGTTTGTTGTTGAAGTTTTGCAGTCTCCGGTAGATTTTAGAGATTAGACACTGATCGGATTTGTCGTGTCCAAAATTTTTTTCCCAGTCTGTAGGTTGTCTTTTTCCTCTTTTGGTGAAGTCTCTTGATGAGCATAAGTGTTTGATTTTTAGGAGCTCGCGTTTATCTGGTCTCTCTTCTGGTGCTTGTGCATTGTTACTTATGGTTTGTATTGTGTTTATGCCATGTATTAGGGCCCCTAGCGTTGTCCCTGTTTTTTCTTCCATGATCTTTACTGTTTTCGATTTCATATTTAAGTCTTTGATCCATCTTGAGTTAGTTTTTGTTCATGGTGTGAGGTATGGGTCTTGTTTCAGTTTTTGCAGATGGGTATCCAGTTATGCCAGCACCGTTTGTTAAAGAGACTGTCTTTTCCCCAATTAACGGACTTTGGCCCTTTGTCAAATATCAGCTGCTCATAGGTGGGTAAATTTATGTCTGGATTCTCAATTCTGTTCCACTGGTCTATGTATTTGTTGTTTTACCAGTACCGGGCTGTTTTGATTACCGTGGCTGTATAATAGGTTCTAAAATCAGGTAGTATGAGCCCTCCCACTCTGTTTTTCTTCTTGAGTAATGCTTTACTTATTCAGGGCCTCTTCCCTTTCCATATGAAGTTGGTGATTTGTTTCTCCATCTCATTAAAAAATACTGGTGGGATTTGAATCGGGATTGCATTGTATCTGTAGATCACTTTGGGTAGAATTGACATTTTCACAATGTTGAGTCTTCCTGTCCATGAGCAAGGTATGTTTTCCACTTATGCAGGTCTCTTTTGGTTTCTTGCAGTAGTGTCTTGTAGTTTTCATTGTATAGATCTTTTATGTCTTTGGTTAGATTCATTCCTAAGTATTTTATCTTTTTAGGTGCTATTGTAAATGATATTGATTTGCTAATTTCCTCTTTGTTGGTGTAAAGGAATGGAACTGATTTTTGTAATGTTTCTCTTGTATCCTGAAACTTTACTGAAATCTTCTATTAGTTCCAGTAGTTTTCTTGTGGATTCTTTGGGGTTTTCTGTGTATAAGACGGTATCTTCTGCAAACAGAGATCCTTGACTTCTTCCCTACCAATCTGTATGCCCTTTATTTCTTTTTCTAGCCTAATTGCTCTGGCTAGGACCTCCAGCACAATGTTGAATAAGAGTGGTGATAAAGGGCATCCTTGTCTGGTTCC